CCCCCCCCCCCCCCCCCCCCCCCCCCCCCCCCGTAACAGGAGGAGCTGGCCCAGGGGCCTTCCTCCAGCCTGGGATCACCCCAACGCCTTCTAGCTGAGGTCCCAATCTTGGGGCCCCTGATGGCTGGCTCCACTGCTCCTACGGGGCCCCATCTTCTGCGCCAAAGTGGCAGGGACCCATCACCCCAAGAAGAAAGGAGGGAAAAGAGGGGAAGGCCCGCCCGTTTGTCTGAAAAAGGCCCGGCCTGGCACTGTATCTGCGGGGAGGGCAGCGATCAGACCCGGAAAGGGTCTGGGGTCCGCCCTGCAGGGGCCCACTGAGGATTTGGGGGTGGTTAGCCCGACAGCTGTGTGCAGGGGCCCCCAGGGGAGGGGACAAGGCAGTTCTGCTGGGCCCGGCCATGGGGGGCTCCGGACCAGTTACGGTCCGCCCCCAGGCCCCCCGACCCGGGGGTCTCTGGCAGAGGGGGGCCGCTCCTACGTGGGGTGGGGGTAGGGAGAGAACCAGGGGCACAGAGAAAGGGGCCCACGGAGCAGGGGGGTCACGGGCCCTGGGGGGGGGGAGAAGTGGGGGGTGGGGGCTGCCCCCCAACAGGCCCCTCTGGAACAACAAACAATACACAACACAAAGGGCTCCGGGGACGCAGCCAAGTGCAGCCCCCCCCACCCGCCCCCCTGCTGGGGGGGTCTGCCCCCGCGAAGTCCCCTTCCTAAAGCGAGGTCCGAGCGCTGCCCCGCCCCCGACGAGCCGGCTTTCAGAGCCCGCCCCATTAGCCCTTTCCTGTTTACCTCCCCCATTAGACTGGAAACTCCTGGAGGGCATGCCCCGACTCTGCCCCTAGCATCCTCGGTGCTTCGCACAACGCCGGGCACGCAGTAGGTGCTTAATAAACCCAGCCCGGGATCCTGCTCCTGGCAGATCCCCATCTTCCCCCATCTTCCCCCATCATCTTCCCCCTTCTTCCCCCTCCCCCCAACCCTGGAGTCGCCTGCATACAGCAGGCGCCTAGTAAATGCCCAGGGAGCCACGGCCTTGCGGACCGCAGGGCTAAGCCCCGCCCCTCATTTGCATGCCGCCGGCAGGCCGGGCCCCAGCTCCCCCACCTCGTTTGCATACCGACGTTCCGCGCGAGCCCGGCCCCCCACATTTGAATACCACAAGCCGCCTACGCTCGACGCCCCGCCCCGGCCCGGCAGTACTGACCCCCCGAGCCCCGGCCCGGCAGCCGCTCCCCTGGACCGCGCCCGGCGCCGCCAGCAGCAGGAGCACCAGCCAGGGCGCCGCCATCGCCGCCCGGCTGCGCTCACGTGACCACGCGCCGGTCACTCTGGGAGAGGGCGGATGCAGCTTCTGCGCCTGCGCCTCTCTGCGGGCTCAGTCTTGCCCCTCCCTCTTTGTGACGTCACGCCGCTAAATGTGCCTAAAGCAAACGCTGCCCCACTCCTACCTCCGCCGGCTCCCGAGGTACGCATGCGCATTGACTCCCGCTCGGGTGTCTACCGGAGCTGAGGCTGCCTGGCCCCCTCGCGTTCTCGGCCCTGTGTTTTGCGCGTGCGCAAGTACTCTCCGTGACATCACAGAAAGTGGGGCCCCGCCCCCGTCGCCATAGCAACCTGGTAGCGTTCTAGGGAAGTACCAGGTAGTAGGAGGGGTCCGAATTTTTCTAGCGCGCCTTCCACCGCCTCCGCTCGGTAGATCCCAGCCACATCCAGGGCCCCGGGCCCAGCAGCGACCCCCTACTCACCGAGGCCCTCGAGGACCAGGGAGGGGTGAGCATGAAGCC